AGGTTAGTTTGAATGTTCATGGGCATTGGATGCTTGTAGGAGGCTTTAATGCTATTGCTCATTATGAAGAACGAAAATCTAATGCCTCATTTTGCACTAATATTGATAATGATTTTTGTCAATGGTTGGAGCAGCTTGATCTCAATGATATGGGCTTTAATGGCCCTAAATTTGCCTCGCGAAGGGGAAATACTGAGGATCATCTTGATCAAGTGGTTGCCAATGATAGATTCTTAAGTTCTTATCCTGATGCTACGATTACTCACTTGCTTTTCTATAAATCCGATCACCGCCCCTTGTTGTTTAGAATTGATGGCTCTCGTCAAGTTGATAAAGTGGATAGGCCGTTTTGTTTTATCACTCCTTAGGTGCTTTATGATGAGTTTTTTGATTTTGTTTGTGGTTCTTGGAATGATAAAGAGGAGTAGAATACTAATCTATAAGGTTTTGATGAAGCTTGTTTCAAATGGAACAAGAAATTTTTGGGTTTACTAAAGCCAAGAAAAAATGATTACTTTCCCGTTTGGATGGGGTAACCCATAAACTAGCAGTTTATCCTTTTAATATGAGGTTGGAAGCCTTGTAACAAGAACTCTAGTTGAAATTTGAGAAAGTTTTGCTATAGGATAGTATGCTTTGGGCTTAAAAAGCTAGAAAAGACTGGAGTTTACAAGGTGATAAAAATACTAAATTCTTTCACCAGGTTGCTAATGGAAGACACAAATGTAATCATGTGGATGCTATAAAGAATGAGAATGGTGATTGGGTTTATGATGCTAGCACTATAATTCTATGACTACTAAATTGTTTGCCTCTCTTTTCTATGAAGAGGATGACTCTAGAAATGATATGCTTTGCACTCGGACATACCATAATATAGGAACAAATACTATTACTAGGTTCAATCAAAAAGTGTCTAATCTTGAAATAAAAGAAGCTGTTTTTGATATGGGTGCTTTAAAAGCCTTAGGACTTGATGGGCTTAATGCTCTTTTCTTTCAAAGTCAATATGAGCATGTTGGGGAGTCTATTGTTGGTATGGTGAAACATCTTCTTCAATGTCCCTTTGATATCACTTCTATTAATGGCACTTTAATTGTGCTGATTCCCAAAAAGGATCATCTCGAGACATTGAAAGACTTGCATCCCATGAGTCTTTGCAATGTAATTTACAAGGTAGTAACTAAGATTATCACTAAGAGAATGAAGACCTTCCTCCCTTTAATTATTAGTCCAAATCAATGCAATTTTGTTGTGGGCAGACAAAGTTCGAATAACATTATTGTGGCTCAAGAAATGATACATACTATGCTGAATATGGCAGGGAAAAAGAGTTTTTTGGTTATTAAAATTGATTTCAAGAAAGCTTATGAAAGAGTTAATTGGAAATTCTTGAAGATTTGCTTTTTTTTTTTTGAACTCTAACTCCCAACTCAAATGATCAATGTTATATGGAATTGTATTTCCACTCCTTCTATGTAGTTGCTTTGGAATGGGGGAAAGGCTGAATCTTTTAGTCCTTCTAGAGGGATCTGTCAAGGAGATCCAATTTCACCACATCTGTTTGTAATATGCATGGAAAAATTGGCTCACACGATCCAATAGAAAATGGAGGATGGCAAGTGGTGGCCAATCAAAGTCTGTAAGGATGGTCCCTTATCTCTCATTTATTTTTTGCTAATGATATTATTCTTTTTGCAGAAGCTTCTCTTCAATAGGTTGACATGGTTAATGAACGCTCGCATAATTTTTCTGAATGCTCTGGATAGAAGGTTAATGCTAAAAAGACCAAAGTTTTATTCTCTTCTAATGTTCACTACCATAGAGGACTAGAACTTGTCAATGCTCTTGGATTCACTACGACTTTAGATCTCGAGAAATACCTGGGAGTCCCTATTCTTCATGAACGTGTTGATAAGGGACATATCGAGAAGTTGTGGACAAAGTTAAGAAAAGGCTAGCAAATTGGAAGGCAAACTCTCTTGCTCTTGCAGGGTGGACTACTTTAATCAATTATGTTACTTCTAATATACCCACGTATACGATGCAAATGGCGACTCTTCCTTGAACTACTTGCAATGAGTTGGAAAGACATAATCATGACTTCTTGTAGGGCACTACTACTGAGCAAAGGAAGGTGCACCTGGTCACTTGGGATAAAGTTTGCAAATCAAAGTCTCATGGAGGCCTCGGAACATGACATACAAAACTTCATCACCAAGCTTTTCATATGAGGTTGGGATGGGGACTGATTAAACGATGTGATGATCTTTGGGTCCAAGTCATTCATAGCAAATATAAATGTGGTTTGGACGTGTTGCCTAAAATTGATGGAAAATTGACCTGGGTCAAGTATTTGGTTTGGAATTAAATCATAGTTCATTAACATTAGGGGTGTTTTTGCACCCTCCTTCAATTAATGATACCGGGTGACTCTTAAGGAAAAATTCATGAATATTTTTGCTCTCTAACCCTTTTAACTATCACATGCATCTTTCAAAAAAACAAAAATCACACGGATTATGGTTTTATAGGCCTTGGATTATTTCAATCTAAGGGTGATTAAATTTATCAAACAAACACAATTTTTACTCTTTCCTGACACACACGTGATTTCACCAGTTCACCTCTCCCACTTTGCAACTCTCAGAACACACGGTCTCTCACCTTCTCGATCTGCCTCTCACTCTCTTAGCGTCACCGTCTCAGAATTCAATTAATATCTAGGAACCATAGTGTAGTTATCTTAGGTTCCATGGAGCAATTAAAGAGAAGAAGGACTTAAAAATTTCTTATGTTCCAAATACACCAAAAATAATGTCGATAGTGTTATTTTTGATAGAAAGTCTACGCAGTATTATAAAATTAGTAGGCATCCCAAAGTATCCAAATTAGGCTCTAAGCTTATCCTAAACCACAGAGAGACACAATTCAAGTTATCTAATTCTCCTAAACACTACAATCATCGTCAATATCTAAACCTTCAAATTCACCAATTCTCAATTCAAACCAATCCATTTCGATTAAACCTCATAAATATGATAGATCAATGATTTTAAATCATAAATACACAAATTAATTGGTAGGAGTGAATTGAGCAGAGAGTGGAATTGGAAGCCCAAATATCATCTGTTTGATATGTTTGAATTGGCTTCCTTGTGAAAGTCACTTCTATCAAAATTGATGAAACCCACCTCCACATCCAATTCCATGTAATTGAGTTCTACCTCCATCACGGCCTCAAGTATCACCATTTTGCCCCTTTTATCATATCTTCTTTATTATTGCCATTGAGAACGATGAAGAGGACCATGGCAGCAATGGTGATGACTCGAGCAAGGATGATGTCAAATGGCGATGACTCCGACGAGGACAATGGCAGACAATAATAACTAATGCTGTGACTATTGTTCGTCGATTCTCCATTGGCAGCGATGGGGATTTACCATGGCTTCTAATTACCGCAATCTTTCCCTACACATTTTCTCTCTTGCCTCAAATATGACTCAAAAAGTCAATATTAGACAACATCGGATCAATGACTTGGATGACATTTGTGGGGCGGGTTTGGCCGTGCAGTCCCTTCATCATCTGATTTGGGTTGGGAAGATAATATTATATATTCTAGATTCAAACGATTTTCAAACTTTGGGTAAGGGCAAACGAGTCTTTTCATATTATAAATGGATATAATAATTAAGAATTATATTACATTTATTTATACTGTTATAGCAAGCATATTTTTAAATTTCACTTTCTCTTCTGTTTATATTTTCATTTTCACTTCTAACTCCATTTCCATCTGGCTAACACAATTTAAAAAAGTTAATTAATTTTAGTAGTTATATTTGAAATTAAAATATTTTGATTAAAATGTCTTTGTAATTAATGTTTATTTTTTTTTCTAATTTAATGATACTATTGAGAGACAATTTAAGAAAAATATAGAGAAAATTTAAGAAAAATATCATTAATGTTTTTCAAAATTTATAATTTTACTTATAATTAAAAAAAACAATAAAACTACGGATGCAGTTTTTCTTACTTTTGGGAGTGAGTTGTGCATCAACTCCCTCAATTGGCGCGTGGTCTTTCGCATTAGATTTTTCAAATGCGATAAACTAAGTGAGAAGGAGAAGAAAATTATGGTAACCACCCATTAGATAATATAAATAATTATTAATATAAATAATTATTTAACTCAACTTGGGACCCTCCACTTACTTGGCCTAATTCATCAAGGTGCAACCCAACGTATTCTCTTTTCTCATATCCTTATTGCGTGCCAAAGTTTGTTTTATGGCTATGCTGGAGCTGGTTGTGTCTCTCGTTTAGTGCTTCGGTGGTTTCTGAAAAAAGATTGAAATGAAGGCGGGCTGAATTGAGGTGATTTATAGTTCTTCTTATCAGGTATTCTCATCTTATTCTCATAGTACTCTATTCACATTTGTGCTTAGAGTCGTATATTCGTTTTATTTCGTTCCATTGTATTTGGGATCAGAAAATTTGAGTGAGAAATTTATGAAAGTGCTTATTGATGTGTTATTAGTTGCTCGGTGAAAGAATTTAAAGTTGGTATGTCTATATGTGTTAACTAGTGCATATCAAGTGTTTCTTAAATAATGCTTGAAAGAAAGATAAAACTATAATTATAGTCAATGCCTATTCATGATAGTTGCAACTTGCAACCTTGGCTGGATCTTATTCTAAGGCACTCAAACTCAAAGTTCAATTTGCTAGGGAGGTTGTGACAAAACTAAGAAGTTTATTAAACATTGATGTAAAATAGATGATATGATATTATTCAAGTAAACAGTCTCAATTAAATTAGTTACCATTGTGAATATGAGAATGATTGAGGTTTGCGGAATGAGGTGTATCTGATCTCATACCCTGCCAGGCACACTACCTCAATGGGTTGTGGCACTAATTAAGTTCAAACACTTTTTTCACATTTGTATTACTTGAAGATGATACATCATGTTAGAAACATATACAGAACATTAAAATATAACACTGTTAAGTGCTATCGACCCCAAACTGGAGACATTGTTGTTTCATTTCGTGAACAAATTTCTGGCCGTTGAATAAACTTCAACGCCTCTTCATTCCCTACGTTTGAATATGCAGGCTGTTTTGGGCTTGCTATGAAGTTGCTTTCGTTTCTTAGCATTAAATAAACTTCTAGCATGCTAGGCCTATCTTCTGCATATTTCTGGACACACAGGAGAGCAATTTGCAAGCATCTCATCAATTTGCAAGGAGAAGATGTATCATCAAGTGAATAATCCACGAATTCCATGCCTTTTCCTTGTTTCCATAACATGTAAGCCTAAAATATTTAGTGAAACAAAGTAATTAATTGAGAGTGAACGTTTATTTATTTTTTAAAAATCCATAGATATATATTACTTACATATTCTAAGAGGTTCAAATCATTACTCACTCCATATAAGCTTGAGATCCTTTTTCCACTAATAATTTGTAGGAGGAGGACACCAAAGCTATAAACATCAGATTTAATGGAGCACAACCCTTTCTCAACATATTCAGGAGGTATGTAGCCGCTACAAGAGATTATGAACAATGTAACATATTGGTGAATTGAATAAACAGAATCGATGTACAAAAATTATTATGAAGAGGTTCCAAAAGAATACTCACTATGTCCCTACAAGTTTACTGGCGTTTTCTTCATGTTCATCTTTTTTAAATGGTCTTGCCATGCCAAAGTCTGAAATCTTTGGCTTCATCTCATGATCCAATAAAATATTGCTAGCTTTCAGGTCTCTATGAATTACTGTCAGTCTAGAATATTCTTGAAGATAGATTAGCCCTTGAGTTACTCCTTCAATGATACAAACACGTTGTCTCCAGTCTAGTAGATGCTGCTTTGTAGGGTCTGTGTCAAAATAAATTGACAAAATTTGAGATATACCACAAACCTTCAACTACAGGAACAGATTGTATTCATCCCAAAGAGGTTTGAGCTCAATCTTCTGGTTTTATCCTTGAAGTCAAAAACAGTAGAAACTTGATATTTGCTCAGTGAAGACATCAAAATAGCAATTTCCACAAAAAGCACTGGATGATCATGAAATGTGGAAAGCTAGAGAAGCGCTAATCATGAACGATGAGCAAACAAAATTGTAAATCATAAAAAATTCAACATATATGCATCCCACGCTAAGTGAATGCTTATTACTGACATGCCCTGTTTATGGACTCCAACAAAGCTTGTTGTATATTCACTCTAACATGCAGTTTTAAGTCCTAAAGATTGCTAACCAAAAAGATGGAACTGAAGGCTTTTGTTTGGCATGTACTCATAAACCAACATTTGTTCTTCCTTGTCATTGCAGAACCCCAATACTCGAAGAAGATTGACATGTTGCAGTCTTGCATTAAGTGTTGTCTCATTTTTGAATTCCTCAAATCCTTGCTTAGAACCTTTTGATCGTCTTTTCACTGCTATTTCCTCTCCATCAGGTAATATTCCCTAGAGAAACAAAAATTATTGAAATCTTGGCAGGATATGGTAAGAATATATTCATTTGAAAAATTGCAAAATTGAAATAAGAAGCTTCATCAGACTTGGTAAATTATAATTTTTCAAATTGTGAAGTTAGACTAATTTTTTTCCCCACATGAATTGTCATCCAAATGTATTATCTTGATGTAAATTTGAGTGATAAAATGTTCTTCATACCATTGTATTTTTTTCATTTCATTATTTGATGTGCCACAAAACCAAACAATTTTAATCTCGTAAACCCTATAAAATTGAATGTGGAGACATCTAATGAATCAGTGCATTAAGGTGGAAACTTATGCCTGGTAGAAAAACAATCGTACTATCTATACTTGAAACCTAACAATTTAAATATTGTATTGTTGAAATCTTACCTTGTAAACAACTCCAAAACCACCTTCTCCAATCTTATTTTCAAGTGAGAATCTATTTGTGGCCCTTTCAATGTCAGAGAAAGAAAAGACTTTGACATCTGTACCGTTACCATTCAAATGTTCTGCTGCTTCTATATTTGCTTTACGAGAAAATAAGGAGAAGTAAGCATTTGTGGATGGAGAATAATCATACGCTGCTAAATATATTACCTTTTAATTTGAACCTTCTCCTCTTTTGGATGCAGACTAAGAAACCTAATACTAATAGCAACACCGATGCCACAGCTGGAGCCAAGAGAATCTTTAGAAAACGTGATCTGTAATGTTCCCCTTTAGCTTTATTATCTTCCCCTTTAGCTGTAAACTTACCATAATTTAAATTATTGATCAAACTAAAAATGTCTACCGAGTACTAACTCTGCATGTTTGCATAATGTAGGTTAGAGAGCATTCCTCAATATGGATCTTTGGGTTTTAAAAGATCATGAGCTAATACATTTTGTTGATGATAGTAACCCTTAATCCCTTATATGTTCTGGTTCCACATCTTTAACATGAAATTATGGTTAGATGATGCACATTTGAAAGATTCTCAGTCTTTTGTTCTCTGCAGAATCTAGTTTTAATTTTTTAGAAGTACAGGATCTGACACTTTTCAAATTTCAACTTTAAGTGTGCACAAAGTGTCAACTGGGAAATATCGTAAATTAATCTTTTCTTTAAAATTTTAGATTAGAAAATGATTCGTATGGAGAAGTGACTAGAATTTAAAAGAAATTACCTGCACGAGAAAGCAACCAATTGTCATCGTCAGAAACCTGCCATGCGGCGTAACCGAGCAACTTCTTTTCCTTGGCATAAGACACCTTAATTTTGATAGCCTCAACATCATCAAAACCTATCCAAGTTGATCCACATGACCAGTAGTTGATTACATAAGTGTCATTGTATTGTACATTGCTTCCTCCGCAGGACTGAATTTGGTCTTTGATTTCCTTGTATGTGATTAGCCATAATCCATGTTGAGTTTGTGATGGACCTGTTGCCGGCGCACCTATTGCATTGTTGTTAGGATCAGTAAGATTCCATGCATACCCAAAATAAGCCAACCCCAAAACCAACTTGTTGGGTGACAATCCCCTGGCAATCCATTCATTGATACCATAGTCTGTGCTATTATATCTACTTGAAGGATCATATAAAGCTGAATGTGCGGCAGTGACATTCGGCGTCCAATGAATGTAAGAATATGTTTTAACATGTATCCAGTCTAAGTATGTTGCCATTGACTCAACAGGATAAACAGAGATATTGAATGGCCAATATGGAGTATATGGAACAGTGGCAGTCAGTATCAGTTGTGGATCATTATCATCTATGTATAGACTCCATTCTTTTACAAGATTTGCCATACCATTCATGTCAGATTTTGTTTGAGGGTAATCCCAGTAAAGGTCGAGGCCATCGAACTGGTATTCCCTGGCTACGTTTATAGAGGATTCAATGAAGGATCCTCTTGAAGAATAATTGCTCACCATTGAAGCATACGAATCTCTCTCTTTCCCCCAAATAGAGAGAAGTGTTTTGACGGATGGGTTCTCTTTTCTGACTGTGCTGGAGAAGCTACGAACTTCGGGCTCATCTACTGGGCGGATTAAGATCTCAAAGGACGAAGTGTTCAAATAAGCACAATAAAATATGAGGTGACTAAACAATGTGGAGTCGACTTGGGAAATGGGGATTCCCGGAAAATAATAACCAGCACTGACCTGTGCAGGTTGTCCTTCTGCCCATCGGAATGGAAGATAAAGAGAAACAAGGACGATAACAAATGCAGTTCTTGACAACATGCATGGAATGCTTTGTATGGCTTTCATTCTGTTATCAGCATTCAGTCTTTAAATGCAGAATATCAAATTATGTAAGAGTGTGTGTGTGTTGTGTGTTTGTCTATTTAATCTATATATATAATTTTCAAGGGAACAGAGTGTTGTAATCACGCTTGAGGTTATGAAGTTTAAAAGTTTAGAATTCGAAATATAATATTTTCTAGTTTTCTTTGCCAGTGGTCAATGAAAGAGCTAAGGATTAAGGGAAAATACAGTAGAAAGTTTTTTGTACTTCTATTGTATTTTGTTTTTAGTTGTTGTTTCAGTCTCTTTGGATTAATCTGTCCATAATTTGAGTCTCTAATTTTATAAATGCATATAATGGCTGTGAGATGGCATTAATGGAGTTAATTTAACTGAAATTCTGCTAACTCCCTTGTAAAAATATGATGATGTGGAAATAAATGGACTATACATGATTAAAAATGGAAAAAATTACAATCAAATCCCACACAGAAAAATTAATTAATATAAGGTTCATTAACAATTGAATTAAATTATATTGACAACACAACTAGTTGTCAATGAATCTTGCAGTAATTAATTTTCTCACGTGAGACTTCAATATAATTTTTTCTTAAAAATAGAAGGTAAAGATGAAAAAGAAAAAAAAAAAGAAGCTTCTTCGTACATTTAGATCAAACAGAACGTGACGCTTTAACCAAAAAAATGTGATAGATAAAAGCAAGATTAAGTTTATATCAACAAAGTTAATTAGACATCAACAAAATTAATTCTGCCAGTATTGGCTCATGGTTTTTATGCACATTTTATAGGAATCAAAGTTGCAAATGGATCAAATTAAAAGAATTGAAAATAATGAAATAAAATTATGGGGATGACAAATAAAATGGGATTAAAATAAAGGAAACTACTGTTATATTTTAAAAAATATTAATCCCAGCTTATTGGATAAATCCAAATGGCAGCAACCTGAGACAGGTGAAGCGCGAACCTTTCGTCCAAGGAGATAAGCTCCGAGACACCGCCAAGCTCAAATTTGAATATTGCAGCTTCTTGTTTGACCAAAACTCATGTAAATTCAAAGATTATTTTAGTGCAGGCTTCAACAGCGGACTTGGCCGGCGCCTTTTTAATATTGATGCCTATTATTGCAATGCGATTTATTGTATGGACATTTTATCCCGGGCTCCTTGATTTAATAATTAATAATTAATAAGAATAAATACTATTTCAATAGCCGTCAATTAGGATCAGTTTTGAAAAGCTAGAGCCTAAGTAGGCTGACTTTAAGCCCGATTACATCTTAAATCTCCCTTTTGCAAGGCTTGGGCCTGGCCCTATTTTTTTTTTTTTGGTGTCTTTTTTTCAATTTAAAAATCTAAAAAATATATTTATAATTTTAAAAAAGTTATTACACATATAATTAAGTTTAGGAAAATAAGTTTAAGTCAATTCACACCACAACAAATATAGAAAACTTAAATATCCAGGCTAATATCAAATAGTAATATCAAAATTAATATCAATAAAAATTAAATTTGACTAACATTATTAGCTAAATCTTAATAAATGAATGAGGAGAGACAAATGAGTCTAAAGTGTTCGTTTGTTTTAATTAGATATTTAATCTTCTTTTTTTAGATTGAAAGTTTTAAAAAAATAATAAAAGGGTTTAAAAGGGTTGGCCCCAGCATTAAAGGGCCATTCCTTTTATTTTTGAGCTTAAAAGGATAATTACCATTTTTTGCTCTAAAGTAACAGCCCAGCCGTAGTTAATTTTAGGTTTAAAAGAATTGACTTGACAAGCTCAGCTTTAATTGATAGCCATGTACATAGAGTAGGTAATTTGAATAAATTAAACTTTTTTATATTTTTTTTTCATATAAGAATAAGTTGAACTTATTCAAAAAGGGCTAAATTAGAATTTGGTTCACTCAAGCTAGCCCGAACTTATAAAAAGCCCATAAAATTAAACTTGGCACTATCATCTCATACATCAAAGGGGTTTATGCAATTAAGAGGGACACAATTCCAAATTTTAAAATTGATGTTTTTGTCATGAAGTTAACAATATTTTCTTTAAAAATTTTTATTGGTGATTTGGGAACCATTTGTTTTATCTTATTTCATGAAAAAATGTTTTTTTCAAAAAAAATCTATTTTATGAGTTCTATGATATTTGTTTAAACTATTAAAAATAATTAGAATTTGGAAGAAAAAAAAGATTTTTGATTCTTTTAAGAAACTACTTTGAGTAGTTTATAAAAATAATTTAACGCAATAAATGAGAAAAAGTGTTTTAAAGAGGAGAGATATGTGAATATATCATAAAATTTTAAAATAATATAGCAATAAATCATTTTTATAAAATAAAAATAATTAAAAAATAACCAACTAATAATTTATTTTTTATTATTATAAAAAAAATAATATATGTTTTTTATAAAATCTCTTCAAAATAAATCTCTTTTTATAATCTTGAACAAACAGCCCCTTATACTACAGCTAGTGTAAGGTAGGTTTAATTTTCTCTATCATTTCAAAGTGAGAAAGACTTATATACTTAATCATATATATTTAATATAAATTTGTTTAAGTACATTATAACTGGTAGATTTTAAAGTATTGAAAATAACTAGGGTTGAGCAATGGGCGGAATGAGCTAGCATGAAGGGTTGCACATAGCCTACCCAACTTATCTAGGTTCAGGCGAGTATACATAATTACAAGTTGTTTGCTCTATCCTAAAATGTATTCGCTCTATTGCAATTTATAAGATAATTTTTAAGAAGATTCGACGTATCAAAATATAAGGCACTTTGATAAAAATAAGATTTTATTAATGATATTTTTTCAATATTATCCTTCACATATATTCTATTCCTTTAATATTCTTTTACAAATTGGGTGTTGAATAAAGAGTATTTTTAAAATTTTATATTTTTGTTTTGAAAAAAATAAGGTTGTCAATGTATTTAATAATGTTTATTAGTATGTGTAATTTTATCTAAAACAATGACTTACAAATTGGGAAGGAGATAGTATAAACAATAAGAGTTTGTTACATATATAGAAAATAATTTGTAAAATTTGACTTTTTTGATTTGATTGGATATAACTTAAAAGTATCTTAAACATATAATTATAAGATTAAGTATATAAATATTTGCCAACAAAGATTGGTCTAATTGGATTTGGCTCACAACTTGTAAGGTCACAAGTTCAAATCCTGATGTCGATATAAGAACCATGATGGTAGCTAGGCGATATATTAGTAGATTTATAAGTATTTTTTGAGTCTTGAAATAGGTCCTAGTGAGTTACTAGGATTCAATACACCTGAACTTTTGCCCACCATATATATATATATATATATATATAAAAGTATTTTTCTTTTCACATGTCCGAATTCAATTCTTATAATTTTTTGAATAAAAGTTGTGATTCTTGAAACAAAAATTATGAATGGGGTTTATTATTTTGAAAACTTATTTTCTAATAATAGAAATTACAAACTTGATAAATTATGATTTTTTGTTTTACTCCTGTGATTCATAAAACAAAAGTTATTATTCCTTAAATAAAAATTGTGATTGCAGCTTGTTTTTCAATAACAAAAGTTACACTTGATAAGTTATGATTTCTTATTCAACTCTTGCGATTTATAAAATAAAAGTTTTGATTTTTTAAATAAAAGTTATGATTAGGGCTTGTATTTTCAATAAAGGTAAAATAGTCTTTTCACTTTAAAATTTATTAACAAAGAGGTTCGTATAAATTCATTGAAATTACGACATTTTGAGAGACTATATTATCATTTATATAATTTGAAGAAATTTTATTGTCATTTTTTTAAATTATAATTATAATTATAGTGGAAGGTCAAGTTGTCTTTTGTAATTTCTCGACCACATCTCTTTCGCATCCTATTCTCTTTCCTTGCATTCTCATTGCATGCCAACATGGCCATGTGTCTCTCAGTGAGAGCTTCGGTGGTTTGTGAGAAAGGATTGAAATGATAGTGGGTTGAATTATTGGAGTGATTTATAATTGGGAAAATCACACTAAAGGCCTTAAAACACATAATATTACACTTTGGGCTTGAAAAATTATGATATTGCACTATAAGTCTAAGGGCTTTTTTTGCAATTTTTCTTGGGAATGAATGTACAATTTTGCCCTTAATGAAAAGCAAAGAAATGAACTGAATGTGGTGGGATTGAAGCCAAGTATAGGAAGGTTTCTCAGTTGAAAGAGTTGAAGCTTGAAGGTTTCTCAACTTCGACGGTGAGGAGTAACTTTCGAGGTTTGTAGATTTCAAAATCTATCCATCCTAAGTAGTATTTCAGTTAAGAAATTTCTATTGAGCTTTGATTAAGGGTGTTGTCCACCATTTTTATGCTGAAATAGAAAATAATTGAGAGGTTGACGATAGGACTTGGTGAGCTATGTAAGTTTCTAGCGTGCACAAAGTAAATGTAGTTATTATATTTTGGTGAGCTGAAAGTTTAGCTTAATGATTTAAATGGCATCATTCTTGCTTGCTGATAAAGTGGCAATAAAGGTGGTCTTAACTCATTTAATATATAGTAGTTTCATTTAATAGAAACATTTAATTGGGGTTTTATATAAGCTAGTAGGGTGCATATGATATGAATTTTTGTTGTACAAACTGCACTGTGATATTATTGAAATTAAAATTTTATTTGTGATTTTACTGCTAATATGAGTTAAGGGATGTTCAATCATGTAAGTTAGTTGTGGACATTTTAGAGTGGATTAGCTATTATATAATAATGATGATTGACTTATCTATATTGCACTTGGACATGTGAATTGAATAAAATATAACCCAATATGAAGAAAATCTGGTATCAGAAATGTTAGAGTATTTGTTGTGCAAAAATGAATTTTGAATTGTTGGTGTTGAACATTGAGTTGTGTAAAATAAAAGTTGAGTTTCTATATGCGGGCATTTACTTAGATTAATTTATTCATTGCAGGTTAATATAAGAGATAGTAGTAGTTCTAGAAAGAAATTATTTTGTTTCT